TATTTTAGTAGCACTCCGAATCAGTATTTCGCAATGTAAAAATGATGTTATTTTCAATAAAATTGCGAGTTGCGCACTCTGATATTTATGGAAAAGCGGGGTGTTACAGTGGGCCAAGCTCATTCCACTCAAATTCGAATAATATTTCAGTCCACTAAAGAAATATTATTTCAATCCCCATTTAGCGCTTTCATTTATTTCTTGAACCGAGACATGTACCACTCAATCTTTATTATTATGTCAGAATAAATTCCACAAGTCACGTTTAACATAATAATCATCAGACTCTCACACACGGCGACCATAAATATTCGAACAGCACACCATACACACAATACTACTACCCAAAACACGAAGATTATTGACCCAGCAAAATGGATCTCGCTTTTGGTAAATCAAAATAGCAACTACTGCATGCACGTGCATATTTATATCTTACGGGTTTATAGTGCACAATAATTAACTGAAGTCTAGTTTGTTTATGACTATCAATATAAAACGAACTATCACTCACTGGAATTCGTTCAATGTACATTGTACACTAGTGTAACTAACCAGTCGAGACAAACTGTACAGTTTAACACTACAACCGTTCACGATGGGTTGTTCATTTCTATCTAAGTTGTGAACGAAACATTTATGTTTAACAAGTAACCGATATGCGATCTTTTGTCTCATCCGTGATGAACCACAATATCTAAATGTAAAACATCAAAATGTAGGCTGTTTAATTAAATATTATTCTCATTCAAACGAGATTAGTGTTAATAAAAAGCCAAGTTTTCAATATACACACCAACAGAAAATCACTCTAAAATACACATAAAAATTATGTATGTCAACTATCATCAAGAAGTTGACCAACTGTAGTAAGGTGTGAAAACAGTTTGAAGAAATGAAAACAAGCTCAAGAAAAAGAGTAGTTTCATATAGTATACTAACTTTACTGGCAACCAAAACTGGTCATGTTACATACAATATGGTAACACAGGTATTTGCCCTTTTGCTTTCATTTTTCAAATTTTTGCTAGCTACACAATCAAGAAAAATGGACATAATATTACACACAGCAATGTGGTTTTCTTCTGCAAGAACCCAAAATCTAAGTCGTATCCAACACAAATGATGTTTAAATGAAAAATTGGCCCAAGCCTTTCCATTGTGAAACTTAAAAACTTTGTCTGTCTTTCTATGAATGCAGACAAGAAAATCCGTATTATGACGAATCAAGGTATCGATTGTCAGTGATCAGCTAACATTGTAAGTGGGTATGAATCCTTTCTTGGCATGTTGGCTCTCCATTTCAAGGGTCATCAGTGACTTCTGCCGTTGATACCGATTTCTCTTTGAGGCAAGAGCTGTTCAGAACAGTCAGCAGGTCATTTTTCTTTCTTATTTGTACGCCTTCTAACAATAAGCATAGAGACCTTAAATAAACTTGTGCTTGAAAAAAAATGTGCTTACATATTATATTTTGCATCAGTTCGGTTATAAGTTAACGCATAATTTAGTATCTTATAGTTGTATAATATTTAACACTTCTAGGGTCAATTAAGCTCAAAATGTATGGAACCATAATATAACCAATAAATAAAGTTTGTGCTTGACTCTTTTAAAACATATGTTAAGCCCAAATTCCCCAAAGTTCGACTAGATTTGATCTAACGCAACGTAGTTGGTCAAAAACTAAAGTAGCTTTTATAGTGTGATCTCGTAGTTCCTTTTATTCCATAGTAAATGCATGCAAATTTGGCAGTCAATTAACAATTATATGAAGATGAACTCACACTTTCCAGTAAAAAGATTAGATGAACTTACACAGCAATTCATGAGGGAAGCTAAAGTCATAATCATTACGGTGCCTCCAGACAACGAAATAGTATACTCCGACTGCCACTAAAGAAATAATAACGAGACAAGACAGGGCTATGGCGACTTTACCGCCAGTGGATAAGCCTTCTTTGCCCCAAAGCACGGAACAATCAGGCAAAGAAGGAACACCGCACAATCTTTTGTTACCCTCAAGGCTGAAAGAAAATATCTGGTGCATTAAGGTCGAGAATAATGTGGCAAAGAAAATAGCACAAATATATATATGTGTATATATATATATATATATATATTATTCAGCTCTGTTTAAGTGGCTCATACTTGTGCGAGTAGGACTGCCTCCTAAATTTTGGCCAAAAACAAAACAACTTGTCTTCCTATAGTTGTAAAACTCCTTACATTTGTTTTAGTCATGAAGAGGTGTATCCTCAACGATGACATTTTTAGTTATGAAGCTCAAAGGACTGTAATTTTAAAAGACATGAAGGATGTCATTTAATTAGCATAAATCTCAGGGGCAGTTTTGAGTAATTATCTATTTTATTCATCAAATAAGCCAGTGGTTCAGTTTATTCGTTTTTCCTGCTTGTAAACATACAAGTCATAACAATTTATGATATGGGAAATTAAGCGTGTTAGGCCAAAAACACATTGGGCCGATTTTGCAATTAGAGTCCTGACTCGAGAACAAACAAAATTTGTAGCACATTAATCAAATGGCAAAAAAACAGTCAGGTAAATTTATCATGACATACTCTATAGCACCACCGTGAACACCAATTGAGTAAAGTTCCTCGGGGACTCGCCCTTCCAGTAAGTTGTCATTCAGAAACCTGTGCAAAGCAACATGAAACTATGAAGAGTATTGTATTTCGAACTTCCATGTTCATGAATAATATGTTTATGGCCGTGATAATGTCTCTGAATTAGAATAAGAACTTATCTCGATACGAATCTGCTTTTCGACTAAAGACAACACTGAAACTGAATAAAAATGGATAAGTAACAACAAAATCTTTGCATGCTTTCGGAGGCTAACTCTGGGTTGCAAACAAAATAAACCCATCACGTTCAACCAGATTTAAAAAGAAGAAAGGCAAAAAGGAAACACACACATGCACACATCCAGAGACAACCATCTTCAGAACCACTTGTGTACTGTCTATTCAACAAAGTCTCCTGACAAAAAGAGGATGATTTGTTGAACAAATGATTTTCACAGGGAACCAACTGTCTTACTCTGGTTTCATCTTGACTTATGTCCATCTTTTAATGCACAGTTAAAGTTCATCTAAAACAAACTTAAAAGCTAAATGCTTACATAATCTGCAAGCTCGACTGAGTAAGAGTATCTGGTATGTACCCAGTAAACTTGTTCTTTGATAAATCCCTGCATGAGTAAAACGAAAACAAATTAAGCTGATGTTACAACATAATGCAGCTTCAGTAATTGGGCCCATTTGCTTAGAATATTCAGCAGAGTTATAATGGGATTGTTGAGTTTAAGTAGACTAGCATTTGATATCTAGGATACCTTCTGTTGAATGAGATTGTTGGCTTTAAGCTTGGGCGGGAAGTTTCCTCCCCAAAGCTTGGTCCCTCATTTGTTTTTTAATTAATTATTTTCTTAGTTAATAATATTTATTAATATTATCGTTTGCTTTCACCCTTAACTATGTCAGAATATGATACAAGTTCACCAACTTCTGTGAATGCCAAAGAAAATATTTTAAATAACCGAAAGGCAATACATGTGAACTTACAGCTTTACAAGAGATTTTTGACCTAACCCTGGGGGTATATTTCCTTCCAAAGAATTAGAACTCAAATTCCTGCACATTAAAAGATCTTAAAAGTTTCTTCATCTAATCCACAAGGAATAAAATTAAATAAATATATGTGATGGTAATTACCAAACTCCCACAGTCTGAAGTTTAAGATAGTTGGTAAAAATGAAAGAAGATTCAAAAAAAACAAAGAAAAAAAAGAAAAACAAAAGTATTATAACACTTGCACTTTGCTATTTTATCCACTTAGGGGATTATTTGATTATGCCTAGCAGTGTAATCAGGGCATTTGAATTACTGTACACCTAAGAAGCAGAAACTGTAATACAAAATCCCAAGGTGTTTTTGTAAGTTTGAAACGTGTTGAATTTTCAAAAATTATCACAAAGGATAGCGATGGATATTGTAATTATCAATTGAATTTACAACCCTACAGAAGAAATGCTGTCACTGAAAGAAACCACAATATGCTTTTTAATGGAACTGGCGAACTGCTACTTTTCTGCCAAGGTTCAGAAACCAGTACCGTCCATCTCGAGCAGCAAATACGTTATATACAGCAATATATACAAGAAACACAATACGTAAAATAAACAAACAAATAATACAAGATACTTACAAGCTTACCAAATTCGTCAAGAGGCCAATCTTTTCGCTGATGTGGCCTTTCAGTCCTTGGCTCCCAAGATCACTAAATATAAAATGTCAATGAAGTACAAGGCATAATATTTTGGAAAGGGATTAATAAAGGAATTGCTCTACAGTATTTAAATTGGGAAAGATACTCACATTTGGGAGACAACAAGGGTAGATCCGTCTTTCGAGGCATGACAAGTAACGCCCTCCCAAGCATCCCAAGTTGCGGGAGCACATGGATCCCCATTCCAACCCATTCTGTCTGGCACACGAAGTGATTCCTTCAATGCTTTCATAGCAGCAACTGCAAAACAGAACCGTCGTCCACATTATGAAAAACAGATTTGCCTGTATAAAAATGTATGATAGTTGCAGTTGTTAAACTTCTCTCAAGCAATCTCACAATGTGTGCCAATAGACAGATGCAAAAGGCCTCAATATATGATGCAGAAATAAATTGAAAAGACAAAAATGTCATCAGTTTCAAAAGACAAGGAGCTGCATAAGGGTGGGTTAAGCATTCCCATGAACTAATTACTTATTTTCCAAGAAAAAAGTGAGGTTATTCATGATGACATAACTAGAAAAAATGCTTGATAATCCTGCTAAAAGTTGATTAAGTTCAAAATAAAAGTGTAACTGGTGAATAAAGCCAAAGCAAAAGAATATGCACAAGTAGATAACCTAAGCACCTCTATCTCAACTTTCAGGTTCTTGTGGGATATGCAAAAACAGAAGCTGCTACTCAGAAACATAACATCTATTCTTAAGTAGCATACTGGGAAAATATATTCAGCTGGCAATGAGATCATCTATTCAGCATGCAAATAGGTGGTCTTTATTTTCAATCATGAGTCACAGCATAAACCAACTCCCAATTTTTTTTTTTTTTTTTTTTTTATTTAAAAAAAAAGAAAACATATTGCCTCCAATCTAGCATTTTCCCTCAACAACTAAACCATAAACACAAACAGATTATTCCTCCATACCTCTCTCCTAAACAAACCAACCAATAAACCAATCACAAATTAAACCGAATATATAAATTTTAGTCTTTTGAATTCAAACACATACCCTGATCAGGTGCAGTCTCAACATCAACGGGCACAATCGCGTAATTCTCAAGCCCACAAATCACCGGCGATCCAACCACCGATTGCAGCTTCACGTTCAAAACCGTGTTGCTTAGATTCTTCACCACATAGCTCCAATCGTATGCGGCAAATGCACCGACCTTATCGTACACATCCACCCGATTCACATTCTCTTCATTTACCAACACATCAAACACCCTCTGTCCGGCCTTAGTCACGCTACCATCAATCTCAGCAAAATGGAAATACAACAAATAATCCAATCTAGCATCCACCTGCAATTCGTACTCCAAAACTCCACCACTCTCGTTTCCAGCCGGAGTCGAAGCAGTCCGGTAAAGCTTCTCAGGGAAGTAATTTGGGCTCACTTCAACTCTGGAGATAGGTTTCACGGCTGAAATTGATCCGACTGTTGGCCCATCCGCAAATGAATCAGCATCGGCCCGGAATAGGGTTTCTGACTGCCAGGAACGGCCGATAACGTCAGTGTCGTTTGTGAATCCAGGGCCCCACTGCTCCGTGGAGGATGAAAATCGGCCGTAGTTAATTAAAATGTAATTAGAGGAGTTCTTGCTGGCGTACGGCAAGGGATAGGCGTAGGGGTCAATTTGGGTCAACTCCAAGGACCCGATTACGGGGGAATCGGTGCCGATGCTGTAGAAGCAGACGTCAATGGTGGATTCGTTGTTGTGGAAGATGAGATCCGAATAGGCGCCGTAACGGGATGTGGATTCGAGCCAGGGGTATCTCCATGAGAAGACCACCGTGCCCCCCACGGCGACGTCGAAGGATGGGGAGTGCGACTTGCCGTCGTAGTTGTCGTAGGCGGTGAAGGTGCGAAGGAGGTAGCGGCCGCCGCCGGCGGGGGCGGGAACAGAGTAGCAGTTCTTCTTTCCGGAGGAGACGGGGAAGTGGCGGAGGGTCTTCTCCTGCTGGTGGCGGAAGATGAGGGGCTCGGAGACGACGGCGTCGGCGCCGCCGGTGAAGTACCGGTCGGCGAGCCAGGACGTGCGGAAGGCGTCTGTGGTGTTCACAAGGCCGCCACAGTCAATGTGCAGGCTGTAATCTGCAAGAACATAAAGACAAGAAAGAGTTACGTTTTAGTCTGTTAGGGAAAGTGAAAAATGGGATAGTAGTGTAGATTACAAGTTAATCGAACATACTAAAGGGAGGGGGGAAAGAGAGGGCGACAGGGAAGAGAGAGAGGAGGAGGAGGAGAGAGAGGAGGGCCATGATACGAGGTGGCGCGGTCTGGTAATGTTTGTTGTTTTGGACATAAAGAAGCTCTCTGCGTGACTGTTTCTGTGTCTGTGTGTACTGTGGAGAGAGAGAGAGAGAGAGAGAGAGAGAGAGAGAGGAAAAGGCGTGATTAGCGGAAAACAGAATAAAACGAAGTAAACGGAATGATGATAGATGACAGTACAGAAATTCTGTCTTTAGAGATTTTGGGGAAAAGCAAATGTAGAATACGGTGCTAATTTCATTTAATTTATAATTACTGTTTTAAGATCTTTGACAAATTACCGCGTGGGAGGTGTGTCGTCAATGTGATCCATCAAATTTGTTTTTTCTTTTTTCTTTTTAGGAATTTCGTCAAGTTTAGAGAACTCAAAAAAAAATTGTATTAATAATGATTGCATTTAACTCATTGACTTCGATTTATTATGGCATATATTTAAGTTTTTGCTTCACAAAAATTTAAATTCACTAAATAAAATCAAATTTTGAAGAGTAAAAAAATTGCTCAGTTTATTCTTCCAAGTTCTTATGAGTATAACGAAAAAGCCTCTGCTTTTTTCTCCTTTTCAAAATTAAAAACTTCCAATTCAGTTTTTTTTTTTTTTTTTTCGAACCATAAAAATCTCATTAAACAATAGAAAAGAAAGAGTACAACGAGCAAACACCCGAGATAGTCACAAAGGCCTGAGAGCAGCACCACGATAGTGTGCTAAATCAACTAAAACTTTGGGACTAGAAGGTAACAACAAACTAAAACACTTCAACCCCAATAGACAATAACTTAAGACAAAGATCAAGACACAAATACAAAGAGCATCCAAACAAAAAGAAGGCTGACACAACCAAAGACCACACTAACAGCAAACTAATACTAGCACTTGTTGGAATACCACTTGTAAGTGTCCTACGTTGATTTTATAGGGAGAAAATGAGTCTAGTATATAAGCCTAGTGGGCTACTCCTCCTATCACCAATTGGTTTTGGGATGGAACCTCACTAAGGTGCATCTAGGCTCACCCTCTTATGGTGCGCCTTCATCTAGTGGGAACGCACTCTCTTCCCCCGGTTCTAATATGGTATCAGAGCGGGCCTTCATCTGGTGAGACCGCACTCTCTTCCCCCGGTTCTAATATGGTATCAAAGCGGGCCTGTCCTAGGACCTGCAATGACTCTCTCTACCCGGTCTGCTATGTGGGCTTGGGCTTACGAAGGACTCACAAGTGAGGGGGCGTGTTGGAATATCACTTGTAAGTGTCCCACGTTGATTCTATAGGGAAAACGAGTCTAGTATATAAGCCTAGTGGGCTACTCCTCCTATCACCAATTGGTTTTGGGATGGAACCTCACTAAGGTGCATCTAGGCTCACGCTCTTATGGTGCGCCTTCATCTAGTGGGACCGCACTCTCTTCCCCCGGTTCTAATATGGTATCAGAGCGGGCCTTCATCTGGTGAGACTCTCTTCCCCCGGTTCTAATAGCACTATCTAAGATTTGCAACAGATAAAGGAAAACCAGAAGCTAGAGAACCAACAGCATCAAGTTAGAGAGCTATATTACAGAATTCTTGTCATTCATGCATTGCTCTCCTCACCGCAGTCATCACTGGCATCTTTCCTAGTTGAACAACCACAGATTTCTTGATCTCTATAGCCACCAAAAGATATAGGTAGATAGTTGAATCCTAGCTTCTGACGTTTCAGTTTTGCTAATCGAGCAGACCTGCCACCACCAAGTCTTGAAGCTGGTCTGGTTTGTGGAGATGCCATCCCATATTAGAGGGGAGATTTTCCAAACTTCTTGAGCTCTTCTGCAGTTTAAAAGCATGTGATCAATGGTCTCTTCATCTTCCCCGCAGAGCTTGCATATAGGATCAATATCAATGCCTTTTTTCCACAAGTTGCACCAGCAGAAAAAGTGTTTGTAAAGCATTTCCAGATGAAATGCTTTATTTTTCTTTTAACTTTGATCTTCCAACATCTCTGTCTAATGTTGGTGAAAGATATTTTATTTTGGCATTAGTTCGATGGTTGAACAAGCACCTGGAACCATAGAAAAAGGGAAGATCTTCAATTATCTTATTTCCTTAATTGAGTTTATTATGTATTCCATATATAAGATATTATGGATTTTATTATAGTATTTTATATTATAGGAAATCGGACTTGAAAGAATTAAAGGAAGAAGAGGCGTGCATGTTAAGGAGATCAAGGAGAGAGAGATTAAGAGATTCACTTACCATAATTCTTGCTATATACAAGGAAGGAAATCGTGCTTGGAGTCCTATGCCTTGTAGAAGACTCCAACCCTAAGGAGTTCATAAAAATACCCTAGGAAAAGCTCCTATTGCGGCTGCTGAAGTTAGATAAATTTTTAGAGTAATATTTGAGCTTCATATTTTCTTTTCTATTCAGTTGTACATAGTTCAGTTCGAGAGTTCTTACACACTCATGGACTGAAGTTGTTTCTGTTTAGTTTCTTTGTTTCATCAAAACTATCTTTTGTTTTTAAACTTAGGGAGTAAGTGTAGTTAAAAAGTCCACGGGACGTGGCCGCAGAATTAGTTGATAGGATCGTGAATAGTGTTGGTTAGACTAGAAGGGAGTTCAAGTCTTGTAAGTCCAAACTATGTTTGTATGCGATTTATCAATGAAAGAGCTCTGAGGGGAAGTGGGATGATTTCCTGAAGAGTTTTTTAAATCTTCGGTCTTATTGCTTCCGCATTTTACAGTTCTTGTTTGGGTTCGTACTATAATTGGTGCACTCCGTGATAATTTTACGTTTCAATTGGCACCAGAGCAGTGTTCCTGTTCTAACTACAGGATAAAGATCTTTGGGACTGGGTGTCGGTCACCATGAGTCATGATGGTGGGATGTCTGTCTCGCGCCCTCCATTCCTTGATGGCTCCAATTACGCTTACTGGAAATAAATGAGGGTTATCTTTCTTCAGTCTCTTTGCAAAGGCACGTGGCAGGCCGTTGAATCCGGCTGGTCGGTACCTCTCCAGGAGAAGGTTCCTACTGAAACTAAAACATCAGAATCCTTGGATGGAAAATCGTCAACTACCAAAGTTCTGGTTGAAAAATCAAGGAGTATCTGGACCGATGACGAGAAACAAGCAAAAGAAGCTAACTTTCGAGCTTTATATGCTATCATGTCTGTTGTAGATCCCACCCGGCACAAGATAATAATTCAGTGCACCACCGCTCAAGAACCTTGGAGGATCTTGGAAAGACAATTTGAAGGCACAAACGCGGTTAAAACGTCAAAGCTCCAAAGAGTCTCAACTGAGCTCGATGAGATCTGTATGAGGGAGGATGAAACTATTGACATGTACTATGCTCGTTTCTGTGATCTAGTTAACCAAAGTGCAATGCTTGGTGAGCTGGTTCCAGAAGCTAGACAAGTGCAGAAACTAATGAGAACTCTACCGGATAGGTTAGGGATCAAGATTACAGCACTAGAGAGTTTTCAGAGAATTCAGAAACTTGGCATTGATGATCTTCTCAGCGAACTTCGCACCTTTGAAATCAACCATGGCTTTGACTCTATGAGGATAAGCAAAGGGAAAGGCCTAGCATTAAAGGCCAAGGTTCGTACTGCAGTTGCTGAGGATGAAGAATCTGATGAAGAATCCTTTAATGCCGATGAAATCACAAAGGCTCTCACTGTGCTCACTAAGAATGTCTCGAAGCTGAAGAAATTTCAGAAAAAGAGGTTCCAAGGTAACAGGTCCTTTGAAGGTGGTAGGAACCAAATTCAGCAATCTGGAGAGAAGCGTTCCGGAATGCAGCTGAACAAGTTTCAGAATTCTAACCAAGGAGTTGAAAAAGACCAATGTCGTGAATGCAAGGGTTTCGGTCATTTTCAAAAAGAATGTCCTAACTTCGAGTAGAAGAACAAGACATTCAATGTGTAACACCCCGCTTATCAGAGTAAATTTTTCGTAACTTATTTCGAAAATACTTATAAATTTTTCGAAACCTTCTTAACTCGGGATGCTACTAACTTATCTACTTTAAAAACCTGTTTACTTAAACTTTATCTAACAACTAAGTTAGACATAAATAAAACAGATTTTGAACATTGAACAAATATAAAAAAAACTTAACAGTTCATACAATCAACATGATAAATCAACCTTTAAAATCACACTTAAAATCACACTTGTTCAAATCTTAAAGAAACGTAGCGGAAATCTTACAAGCGTGGTTTACAAATCGAACCCTTATTGAAAATTCTCAATAGAAACTTATTCACATCCACCACCACCACAGCTCCTCACACCTGCGCACCGTCTTTATTTCCTGAAAAAAAAATGATAATAGTGGGGCATGAGTACTAATCAACTGTACTCCGTAAAAACACATACTAAAGTAAACAGCAATAATAATATCAATATCGTGATCTTTGGTATGTATCTAAGCTTAATCTTTCGGTATCTAACCGATACTTTAACTTGAACTTTGCAACTACCGGTAACTTGGGCCGGTTCTCACGTGATCACATTCTTGGGGTCGCCTCCCACAGAACCCAGTCTTGACTGAGCGAGCTTAATACTTTACTTAACTTTATACATACCTCGAACATGATAATAGCTATTATACTCAATGTAATACCCAGTCTGGGTCCCCACCTTTTCTTGTTGAAAACTTTTGAAAACTGTAAGTGCTGTACTGATAGCTGTATCTGCAACTACATAAAAAATATAAACAAATATACTACGTACTATGCTCATTATACTTACTAAAATACTCGGATACTCACATCTATCAGATAACTTATCCGAATATAAAAGAATACTCTAGAGATCATAGTAAGTCCGGATTTAAATTGGTATACTTAAACTAAACCGAAACTTAATCATTTTCATACTCTTCAAACTTTCACATTAATTTATATAATGAGAAAAACTAAAATCATATGCTATAACTCAATTCACCTTATTTTAATCTTAACTTTAACATATGTATTCTCAACATATATATAAAGTTAC